TTAAAGGCTTTGATAACATCAGCCTTCAAGAATACCTCAAGAGGTATTCGATTATGTTTACACAAACAAATTACTAATAAGGTTCCGATCCGTCGAACCTTCGAAAAACCCAACGGGTACAAAAAACACATGCTAAGGCATACAAAAAATTTCACTAAGTCTTTTAGCCGAAAAGAGGGAAAAATTATAGACACTTTAGAGGCCGAATTGGCCCAACTTAAAGAGCCTAAGGGCCAACCTAAAAGAGCCTAAGGGCCGACCTCAAAGAGCCTAAGGGCCGATATAAAAGAGCCTAAGGGCCAAAACATATAGGGTTCGAGACCTCGTTCTCACTCAACTCGAACTCAAGGGTCTCATTATCCCGAGCTCACGCCAAATCAAATTAGCCTAGCTCGAAGACTAAAAAAACCTTAGAGGTATTCTATTCTAAATTCGAGGATCACACGCTGATCACTAAAAAACCTAAGGGTTGTTATATTTAGAATCTGAGCCAAGGCTCACTTAATCATTGAAGTTATCAAATTTTTCACAAAATAAAGACAATGAGGAATTAAAGATGAAGCAAAGGAATTCTTTATAGAGATGTTTACAAAATATATTTACAATACCAACGTGGGTCTTTTCACAAAAACACTAAAACAAAATGAAGAAGCTTAAAACCTACTACCGGGGCCACACCTTACGGCAGCTGCATCTTCGGGAGCCGCGCCTTTGGGAGCCTCATCCTATAGGACTTCATCTTTACTCTCCTCGCTCTAAGAGCCACTGACTGAATCCTCATCATCAGAAAGCAAAGCAATAACCTCTCTTCCAAAGTCTTTTTCTTTTCAATACCGTCTGAGAGATCGAAGCGCGTGCATGCACTCCTCGAGGGTTTCTCTCCAGGTCTGTCGCCTGGTATGGTCAAGTGCAACGCTAGATAGTCGTTAAACTTCGGGTCCGCCAAAACCGAAAGACTCTACACGTTTTGCCTTCGGGGGTAGTTTTCGGAAATTGGCCTTTTCAAACCGGGAGTTTTACGGACGTTACCCGTAGGTAAAAACCGTAA